AAAACACGCAATAGCTTATATTTGATACATTTATATAGAATATACAAATAATATATTATATGTAAGAAATAGAATACCAACTTAGAAGGTTGGATTATGTATTTAGGAATATATGTATGTATGTATGCATGTATGAAAGAGTGGTCATCAGTTTGAAAGAAAACAAGGAGGGATATATGACAAGGTTTAGAAGGAAAAACAGGAGATAAGAAAGACTATGATTATACTATAATCTCAAAAGATTAAAGAAATGCTATTTTTTAAGAGGAGCATAGAAAAAAAAATCCAGTTGTAATAGTGCTCACTGTTAGGTTATGCTAAAGAGATGGGAACACAAAGATCAGGAGTCAAGGCCAGCCTGGGCTACACATTTAAGAAGGTAGTGAGGTGGACCAGTAGTCAAGAACACTGACTATTTTTCCAGAAGACCCAGGTTCTATTCTCAGCACTAACATAGTAGTTAACTCCAGTTCCTGGTGGGTCCAAAGCCCACTTTTGGCTTCTACAGGCAATACATGTACATAATGCACAGACACATATGCAAGCAAAATAACCTTCCACATAACATTAAGATAAATCTTTAATAAAAAGTATAAACACACATGACACCCCTATCACCTTATGTACAACTCCTTTAGGTAATTGCCAGTATAGTCCAATGTACATGCTGCACATAAACTCCTTTCTTTACATATAAATAAAGATACCATTCATGAGGGAGATCATATTCTATAGAGATTGGAGCTGTGGAAAGCTATGAGAAAACATACTCAATGCTGAGTAACTCAGTACATAATACTATTAACTGTTGAAAATTATAACCTACTTTCTGATCTGAGGCTGAGCATTACACTGCAGAAATTGACCTCATGTTCCCTGTGTAGCTGAAGAGGACCTCACTTTCAGCCCCTAGTCTTCTACATCCTGAGCGCTGGGACTATAAGCCAACTCCATCATCCCTAGCTACCAGAGAATTCTGCTGTTTGTGATGTTTCTTGTTGCTTTGATATCTGACAAGCCATAAACTGAAGAAGAGGTTTGAGGGTTCAGTCCACCATGACAGGAGATGCACAGAAGGATGGGAATGAGGTGACACTGTGACTGAATGAAATAAGCAAGTAGAGAAACAGGAACGCCAGCGCTTGCCCATACTGTTCTCTTGCTTTTCATTCAGTGTAGGGTCTAGTCCAACTAACCTTTCACTTTCACTTCTTCATGCAGTGATGACGTAGAGACATTTTAGTACCTCTGAACCTGTCATAAATGGCCTGGACAGATTAACTGTCTCTAACAGCGGTGCAAAGCTCTAACTTTTTCACTGCTGTACCTCCATTGCTCAGCATTGGCTGGTTGTTTTTATTGGCAACACAGAGAACAAATGGTGGCATGTTTACACTAACTTGAGGCAGGTGATGCTTAGAATAAGCATCACAATGTAAGGCTCTGATTAAACCAGACAGTGGGGTAGAGAAATCAGTGTTTGAATGAACAACTGTAAATTGTATACATTCCACAACAGCAACCTTCAGAAAATGGAAAACAACACTCTGGCATGAGACTAGGGTTCCTAATATCTCTTTTTCAATACTGTACTCAAATTCTTAATTAAAGAAGGAAAAAATATAAAGCTAGGCAAAGGGAAAAATTAGAAAAAAAGAAATTCAACTATGCTAGTTTACAGATGATATGAGGTATACTAAAAGACCTGTGTACTCTACAAAGAAGTTCTAAATATGATAGTTCTGCCTACTTTTATGTCATCATGCCAAAAGCAAAATCTCATATAAGAAAATGCCTGTGGGCAAGCCTGTGAGGCATTTTCTTGACTGATGGCTCAGGCTGGAAAGTCCAATTCACTGTGAGCAGTGCCACAACTGGTTTGGAGGTCCTGGATGCCATAAGAAAGCATGCTGAGGGGCTAGAGAGATGGCTCCACAGTAAAGAGCTGGCTGCTCTTCCAAAGGACCAGGGTTCAATTTCCAGGACCCACATGGCAGTTCACAACTGTCTATAACTCTAGTTCCAGGGATTTTGATATCCTCTCATAGACATATGTGCAGGCAAAACTCCAATGCACATAATTTTTTTTTTAATTTAAGAATAAGAATATTAAAAGAGAAAAAAAGGAGGGGAGAAAAAAAGGAGGAAAGGAAGGGAAGAAGGAAGGAAGGAAGGATGCTAAACAAGCCATGTGGAGGAACACAGTAAGCAGCATTCCTCCAAGGGCTCTCTACGGCTCCTGCCTCCAAGTTCCTGCCCTACCTGATTTCCTACCCCGAGTACACTAAGTGATGGATTGTTACCTGGAAGCATATAATAAAATGAATTATTTTCTTCCCAACTTGCTTTTGGTGATGTGTTTTCTACTGCAATAGAAACCCTAACTAAGACAATGATAAACTGTAAAGGAATTTTAATCTATCAACATGAATCAGATCCAATGATCTATATGATCCGGATAGAATATACCCTTCGTAATCTTTTAATCCTACACAATGAAGATAAAGTTACTAACACAAGGAAGCCATGTTTAAAAGTGAAGTCTAATTGAGAGGCAGAAAAAGTGATGAATCAACGAAAGATTTGACAGAACGTGTCAGCAATGGGTTATGCCAACTTTCATAAGAACAGAACAGGAAAGAGAGGCTACTTAAGAGCAGGGTAGGGTGAGAGAAGGGAGGTTTTTACCAGAGGTTTTTTTTTTTTTTTTCCTGAGATAGTTTTACAGAGACCGGTTGCAGAGAGAACAAGCTAGACGCAGGAGAAAAGAGAACAAGCCAGAGAATGAGAAGAAACCACAAGATTAAAACATGCTGCTAGAATGAGTTTGAGGCCTGAAAGAGCAATTGAGTCAGAAGCCAAGAGAAGCCAGTTTGAATCAGGCAGGTAGGAGAGGAGTTAAGGCAATAAAAGCAGAGTTGAACCAGCCAGTGAGAGTTCAGAAAGAGCTAGAAATCTAGAAAGGCTTGGGAATGGCATTCATCTCATCACTTCATCTGAGAAATAAAAACATTTACAATAAACACTGTCAATAAAAAATAGCTGTTCTCAAAATCAACGTGAAATATCATTAGCTTTTATAAACATCAAAAAGATACTTGCAGGGAAAGTAATTATAGAAAGTAGCACCTAGTCACCATAATCTTAAAATTTTTTTAAAGGAGATACATCCAGGAATGGCCCTAATGAAAGAGGTGAAAGTCTTCTGTAAACATTTGAAAATATCAAAACGCATCACTTACAGGAAGACATTATAAGACAGAAAGACATGTTCTGGGATTTGCAGAGCTCATTTTGTAATAAAAGCAAATCTATACATTCAATGCAATCCACAGCAAAATTTCAATGACAACGAACTAGGAAAAAACACACATCAAGGGTGTGAGGACAGCTTTTTCAATAAATACTTCTGGCAAAATAAGATATAAAGTTTCTCAACAAATTCTCTGATGTATGAAGAATAAACAACTTCTCTTAACATTTGGACTTTCAGGGTTTCTTTTATATACAAATTTAAAATGCTGTAGATTAGAACTGTTCAATACTTATCCAGTATCTTTACTCTCACAAAGTTCCTCTCTAGTATGAGTTATTCAGTGTTTAATTAAGTGCAATTCAAAAACCTTTTGTCATATTCTTTGCATAAATTGGGCTATTCTCCAATGTGAATGCTCTGGTGTCCAGTGAAAATTTAACAAATCTCAAGGTTTCGTGTCCTTACGTCCCATATAGAGTCTGATGACAAGTATAAGGAAGAGTGTAAATCCTTCACACATTCAGTGCTGTCTTTGATTTCTGTTTCCATGACCCCAAATGCTATGGCCCCAAACAATTTAGAGGAAGGGGTCAACTTAGAGGAAATATATTAAGGGGACACAGCATTAGGAAAGTTGAGAACCACTACCGTAAAGGAAAGCTATGTATTTCTTTGCTTCCTCCATTGTACCTGAATATGCTCTATCACCAAGAATTCGAGGTTTTTTTTTTTTTTAATTATTTATTATGTATACAATGTTCTGTCTGCATGTATGCCTGCACACCAGAAGAGGGCACCAGATCTCATTGTAGATGGTTAGCAGCCACCATTTGGTTGCTGGGAATTGAACACAGGACCTCTGAAAGAACAGTTAGTGCTCTTAACCTCTGAGCCATCTCTCCAGCCCCCAAGAATTCTTATATAACCCAGGAACACTTGCCCTGGGATGGCACGCCTTACGCTTGGGTGGACTAATGTACATGACTTAGCAATCAAGAAAACCCCTCCTAAATATTTCTATAGACTAATCTGATGAAGTAAAAAACATAGTTGAGAGTCCATCACATAATATGGGGCTGTGTGATACAGACATCTAGAGCCGATGAGGACATCTGCACCTGCAGGTTTCTCACCTACGGCAATTCTTTGGTGTTGATGAAGACGAAGTATTATTTAAGGCTCAGGCACAGCTTTCATGTGTAGAGAGTGCCTCTGCAGTATGAAGTCTCTGTAGATACCTAATGTGTGAAGAACAGGTAGAGAGCTTGCCACCTTGATTGCTTTTGTAGGCCTCCTCATCAGGATATATTCTCTGATGCTTACATAGACATGAGGCATAGCTCAACCATGGTCCTTTTCTGCATGAGTAGGGTTTCTCTCAAGTGCAGATTACCGAGGATGAACCAGAACTGAATGATTACTGAAACCTTGACCACATCCAGAGACTGTTGTCATTTAAGATATGAAGAAACATTAAAAGCCTGTCACTCCCTTCACGTTTGACTGACTGGTAAAGCACTTGCCATTCTCCCCACGTACATGGCTTCTCTACTCCCTACATTCACTTGCGCTGTGTAAGATCTGAGTGATCAGCACAGGTTTTACCATATTGTACACACTTCTATTCAGAATGAGTTCCTTGATATCTTTTAAATCCTGAGGACGTACAAACTTTTTAATGTTGTTTGTAGGATTTCTCTCCAATATGAACTGTCTTGTGTCGAGAAAGGGTATAATGATTAACAAAGGCTTTGCCACATTCCCCACACTTGAAGGCCTTCTCTTCAGAATGAATTGTTTTATGTACCTTAACATATGAAGAACACGAAAATCTTTTGCCACATTCTTCACACTTGTACGGTTTCTCTCCAGTATGAACAAGCTTGTGCTGAGTAAGTGTATACAGCTTACTAAACGCTTTGCCACATTCCCCACACTTGTAAGGATTATCTTCAGAGTGAATTCTTTGATGTGTTTTAAAGTCTGAAGAATAGGAAAACCTTTTACCACACTCTTCACACTTGTACGGTTTCTCTCCAGTGTGAGCTATCTTGTGCTCACTAAGCACAGAGGGCTTAATAAATCCCTTTCCACACAGGTCACACTTGTAGGGTTTCTCTCCAGTATGAACTGTCTTGTGTCTCTTAAGGGTTGTACGTGTACTAAAAGTTTTGTGACACTCTTCACACTTGTATGAATTTCTCATACATACTTCTCTCCAGTATGAATTTTTTGGTGTTTTTTAAGGTCTGAAGTAGAGTAAAACATTTTGCCACACTCTTCACATTTATAGGATTTCTCCCCAGTATGATGTAATTTGTGCAGAGTAAAGTATGAGAGAGTAGAAAAGGCTTTTCCACATTCTTCACATTTGTGTGGTTTCTCACTCATGTGAGTTCTCTTGTGTATAGAAAGTTCTGGGAAAGTACGAAAATCCTTGCCACATACTTCACATTTGAAGGGTTTCTCTTGACAATGAATTATTTTATGTCTCTTCAGTTTTGAGGTACAGGCAAACATTTTGCCACATTCTTCACATTTGTGGCATTTCTCTCCAGTATGAACTATTTTGTGCTGAACCATGGAAGAATTAGTAGAAAAGGCTTTTCCACAGACTTCACATTTGTACAGTTTCTCTTGACAATGAAGTCTTCTATGTTTCTTCAGTTTTGAAGTAGAATAAAACATCTTCCCACATTCTTCACATCGATAAGACTTCACTCCATTATGACTTAACTTGTGCTGAATCAAGGAAAAATTATAAGAAAAGGCTTTCCCACATTCTCCACACTTGTAAGGTTTCTCTCTAGAATGGACACGCTTGTGCTGAGTAAGAGAATAAAGTGTAGAAAAGGCTCTACCACATTCCTCACACTTGTAGGGATTGTCTTCAGAATGGATTAATTGGTGTCTTTTAAGGGATGAAGAGGAGGAAAAACATCTGCCACACTGTTCACACTTATAGGGTTTCTCTCCAGTGTGAGCTATTTTGTGCTCAGTAAGCTCTGAGGTCTTAGTAAATCCTTTTCCACAAAGCTCACACTTGTAGGGTGTCTTTCCATTATGAACTGCCCTGTGTCTTCTAAGGGCTGAGTGATTACGAAAAGCTTTGTGACATTCTTCACAGTTATATGGTTTTTCTCCAGTATGAATTTTTTTATGCTCCTGAAGGTGCGGAGAACTGTAAAACTTTTTTCCACAGTTGCCACAATTGTAGGGATTCTCTTCAGAATGAATTCTGTGATGTTGCTTAAGGAATGAAGGATAGTAAAAGGATTTGCCACATTCTTCACACTTGTACTTTTTCTCTCCAGAATGAAAACCTTTATGTTGGTTAAGGAGTAAAGCAGAGGAAAATGCTTTGCCACATTCTTCACACTTGTGTGGTTTCTCTCCACAATGAACTCTTTTATGTTGCTTAAGGAATGAGGGGTCATAAAAAGCTTTGCCACATTCTTCACACTTGTAGGGTTTGTCTTCAGAATGAATTCTTTGATGTTGCTTCAACATTGAAGGATAGTAAAATAATTTCCCACATTCCTCACACTTGTAGGTTTTTTCATCAGTATGATTTTTCTGATGTATAAAAAGTGATGAGCGACTAATAAAGGCCTTATGACATTCTTTACACTTGTAGGGTTTTTCTCCAGTATGACGTCTCTGGTGTATCGAAAGAGTTGAACGAGAACTAAGGGTTTTACCACATTCTTCACACTTGTAGGGTTTCTCCCCTTTATGAATTCTCTGGTGTTTAATAGGTAGTGAGTTGCTATAAGTGTTACAATCATTGGGTGTTGTTCCTGTTGAAGAAAAATTGAGATATGATCAAAAAGTAAGTAATATTCTTTATACTTATAATGCTTTTTTTTTAATGGGGAGATTTACTCATACATATTTAACCACAAATCAGAAACTATGGTATATTTCAACACCTATTGTCACCAGGGCCAGGAAGTCTCAGAATGACCACTGTATTTCTTTATACCAAAGCCAAGCTAGTCCTTCTGGTGCTTGAAGGGGATAGGTATAGATACTTTTATCTGCTCCTGATTCTGGTAATAGGAAAAAATCTTGACAGGAACTCCTTCCCTGGGTCTCCTAATAGTAAAGATGTTGATTGAAGAAGTAATGGAAAAAACTATTGTGGCTATAAACATGTTTTTTTGTTTGTTTGTTTTGTCCGAGGTGTAGTATATAGGACTGATTCAGATCGTCCACAGCAGTAGACTATTTGCCTCATTCGGACTCTGACAGGAGCTCTTAGCTAGCTGCAGATAGTTTAAATCTGAGGACTCTGAAGAAAGAATAACTGCCAAAAGCCCAGAGTATTGGAACTTGGAGAAAGAATAAGGCTCTTCCTGCTTCTTCCTTGCTGTTCCTGGTTGCTGTTGTAAGACAAAAAGTTGGAGATCTCCTGAAATGAGGACTGGACCGGCTACAAGGAACCCCATGACCCTAACCAGCAGGAAGCAGCTAAGAGAACTCCACCCTCTCTCCCATTTCCCTTTCCTACCTGGTGTTGGTAGGAATTGGGGTGGAGTAGTGAGAAAACAATCAAAGAAATATAAATAAAAGTTTTTAAAGTATGCCAACATGTTTCCGTTAAATCCGTGTTTTATGTCATTTCTGTGGATGCTGAATGAGTGACTTCATTGTTCACTTCCTCTATGCTGTCTCAGCTGTTGCTGTATGTCTCAATTTTTGTCCCTTTCCCTTACTTTCCTTATGGAACAGTCAGCTCACTGTCTGAACTCACTTTGGACTGGCCCACCGGAAGCAGCACAGGATCTTCTAACCTGAACAACTACCATCTTCATAAATCTAGCTGTGCCTGCTAAAAATAATCACAGATGGGCTTGTTAAAGGTTAACATTCTAGCTGGGGTGGTGGCCCACACCTTTAATCCCATCACTCAGGAAGCAAAGGCAGGCAGATCACTGTGAATTCTAGGACAGCCAAGGCTACCCTGTCTTAAAATACAAAACAAAAACAAAGAAAAAAAAATCCTTCAAAAAAGGATATAGGCAAGGTCATTGAACCCTCACCTGAGTTTCCAGTCACTCTTGCCAGACAGTTACATGGAACTGGGACTCAATTATATGAGGTTTCAATGTTTTATAGAGACAGTAGGGTACACAAGCAAGAAAACCTAATACTGGTTGGGGGTCCACCTCTGCAATCATGGGAAAGCTTTTCTTTCCTGGGTGCTACATAAGAATAGATACTGTCTAACACCCTCCCCTTTGGGAAATGCTAAGTTTACTTGTTAATGTTATTATGTCTCATTTGAAATTACTTAATTGGAGGGGGGGGGTATGTAATGTTCACATGGCTGGTCCAAAGGTAGTGAGTAATCGCAAGGACTCGTTACAATTAGTTACCAATTGAACTCCTGTTCTATACTTTCTGTCTCTGGATTCTTGTTTACAGAGAATGTTCTCAGTTTCAAGGTTATTCATATCTCTAAAACTCTTCCAGAGATGTAAATTTTCTCTTAGGATCAGTGAAATCATTTTTAAAAGTTATAAAAGACATAAATTTGAGGTTCTATCTCTAAAAAGGGGGGTTAAATTACTTTACATAAGATAAATTAGGTAAATAAAGAGGCCAAAACCATTAAGGCTTTAAGGAGTCACAGTAGGTAGCTCCTTAAAAGTTGTTAAGTTCAGTGGTCAATTAATGCTAACAGGGCCAACTTAGACATCTATCTAGTCACTTAGGTATTTGCTAACTTTTTTAACCTTTAGCCATTGGAGAAACTGAGTCACGACAAGAACTGTAGTAATAATTAATTGTATACCTTTGTATTCTTTACAGGTGTCGTTCATAAAGGTCTTTACTATTTTCACTTCTGAATGTATTCTTTTTTTGTTTTGTTTTGGAGTTTTTGTTTGTTTCTTTTGTTTTGAGACAGGTTTCTGTGTATTCCTGTGTATCCTGGAACATGCTCTGTAGACCACTCTGGCCTCAAACTCAGAGATGTGCCTGCTTCTGCCTCCCAAGTGCTGAGATCAAAGACGTAACCCACCACCATCGGCAAATGTACTCTTTATGATCAAACAAGTTATTAATATAGAGTATTTGTGAGATCGATTTAGATTTTGTAAAAGTACACAATGAAGGTATCAGAAAAATAAACTTTCCATTCTCTCCATGAACTGTATTTATGGTTTAAAGTTGATCTGGTATAAAAGAGCTTCAGTATAAAAATTATGATTTTTTTTTTAAGGCTCAAAATTTTAACAAGGATAACTTACTTTCATTTATAAAATTCCAATCTTATGAGAGTTATGAGAGTTAATTTATTGTAAATTGTTATAAGAAAGATAATTTACACATAACAGTTAAAGATGAGCCACCTTATTAGCAATTGTACACTTTTAATATAGCCAAAATTATGTTTGTATTCCTACTAAATATCAGTGTACTCATTTACATGAACAATGTTAGAAGGAAAGACTGATATCTACCTGCCTTTATACTGTCTACATGTAATCAAAGTTAAGCCTAATGCAAATATCTCAAATTTAAGGTCAACAAAACATTTATAGCTCTGATATATCTGAAATATTGTGTTCATAAACAAAAATTTTCAGAGTTAGGATGAATATTTGAGAAAATTTAAGTATTTTCCTAAAATTAGAGCCTCACAACTCTTTAAAATACTGAAAATCTATTGACTTCCAAGAAAGCCATACAAACAACTGGATTTCCACCCACTCTCAGCTCTGGTGACTATATCTGCTGTGAAGAATGTTCTCATACAGCCTCAAATGTAGCTTTGGGATATCCACTGTTTTATAACAGAAAGCAAACTGTTATAATCAACAGATATGAAACCTTGAAAACTCCTGAGCCTTGGAGTGTTCAGGTATGGTGTAATTGTGTGTATGACTTTATGAACCCAGTCATGCTTCATTTCAGTATAGAGAGTTCTTTTTGGATGAGCTTGCTTTTCAAAGTCAGCAAATAAATGACTGTTAGTCTGATCCACATTGAGTGTCATTTTCCTGTGTCTTAGGTTACAATGTAGACACACAAAAAAAATGAGGAACTTTGCAAGGTCTTGTATACAAGCAGAGTTCACCAGAGGGGAGGAACTAAGCTTACACACTAAAACTATTATAAATGTCTGAGAGGTGACTTTTCATCACAACAGAAGACACTAAAGGCAATAGCTTAAAAAGAATTTCCACAACAATGTAATGTCTCAATGTGCATGGTAAAGCCTGTCTTTCTGTTCTATCTTGGGACTTCTCATCTCTCCTCTGAGCCCCTCTTTCCTACCCACCAAGGTACACAGTGGCTGCTGCTTGTTTCTTCACATCCCAAGGCCCTTGTCTTTGCTCCAGAAATGTCACCAGTTGTGGCTTACAGCCAGCAAGACCTGTTTGTGGGAAAAGGAACAAGACTGTTTAAATGTTCTTCTCACGGTAAGTGACATGCCCCTTCAAGTACAGTGTTTATAAGGAAAGAGATGATGCAATAAATGATTGCAGACAATTAGTTCCTTAAATGGTTTGGGACAGGTATACTACAATAAAGGAATGTACACTGTCCAGATTCTGAGTTTCATTTAAAGGAAAAATATTAAAACTGAATTGTCAAACACTGTACTCAACAAGTGTGCTCCATGCCTCATTTCCTTGAATTTCTAACAGTGCAGGCAACATAGACAGGTTAAACACACAAAGATAAACAAAAAAGTACTTCTTAGCTAAACAGCAACCTGCTTCATGTTTTTTTTTTGTTTTTTTTTTTTAAAGGAATATGAAACTCGCAGTTGAAAAGCATAATCTTCTGTGACATATTGCACAAAGTGGGGAAGCTACATGTTGAGGGAGAAATAAAACTTTACTATAAATGCAATCCTCACCAAGGAACACAAGGTTGCTGTAATTCTCCAATATTACATCCCTGTACAAATTCCACTGAGCAAGATCCAGGCATTCCCACTCTTCTGGAGAAAAATCAATGGCCACATCCCAGAAGGACAGCACTTCCTGAAATAAGGACCAATAAATGGTATTATAGTTTAAATGAATTAAAATCATCTCACATCATCACCCACACAAACAGTAGCACTCAAGGAAAAGAGTTTGGAAGATATATCTGGACACCATGGAGACTGGAGTCCACCCTGTAGAAGAGGAAGGAATTCCACCTTAGAAGTTGGGCTTATTAGAGTGAAACACCAACCAAATGAATGGACTGAACCTAAGCCCCTTACACAGAGGTAGCCAATGGACAGCTCGGTCATCATGTAGGTTCCCGAGTAAGGGGAATGGGAGCCAACTCTGGCATGGACTCTGTTCCCTGCTTTTTGATCACTGTACCCTGGCAGGGCTACCTCACCAGGCCACAGGGGAAGATGATGCGTTCAGTCCTGATGCAACTTGATGTACTGGGGTGGATGGGTGGTGGGCTCTTCTTCTCTGAGGAGTAGGGGTGGGGGAATAGAAGGAACAAGGAAAAAGGGTGGGAATGGGAAGAGAGGAGGGAGGGGGCTAGGACTTGGCTGTCAAATAAATAAATAATTAAAATTATAAAAAAGTTGGGCTTATTGTTTGTATATAGTAACACCACATGCAAACCACAGTGGAGGACATGCTTGTCACTATCAAATGCAAAGCTGGAAGTCTGTTCTGGCTAAAGTACCAAGAAGCATTCATTACACAGTAGAACCCAGGGTACAAGGAAAGGGATGGCATCCAAACAACAGAGAATGAGCCAGGAATATAAACCATAGACAGCTGCATCAGGCAACAAGAAGCTCAGAGTGAAATGGGAAATCATGGGAATCTCAGATTCTAATGAGCCAACAGAACTTAAGCACATGTAGTTTTTTTTTTAAATAACTCGTTTTCTATTCCATGTACATTGGTGTTTTGCCTGTATATATGTGTGTGTGAGGGTGTCAGATCTTGGAATTATAGACAGTTGTGAGCTGCCATGTGGGTGCTGGAAACTGAATCCAGGTCCTCTGAAAGAGCAGTTCGTGTTCTTTACTGCTGAGACATGTCTCTAGTCTACAACTCAACTTGATGGCGTGCATTTCTGTCATGCTACTGGCTGTAAGAAACCTGAAATGAACCATAAATTTAGCCCATCTATAAACTATGTTTAAGTGTTTTCTCCTGAGCTTGGAGAGATGGTTGGGCACTTTCAGAGGACCCAGGTTCAATTCCTGGCACCCACATGGCAGCTCACAACTGTCTGTTACTTCAGTTCCAGGGGATCCAACAGCCTCACACAAACATACATGCAGGTAAAACACCAGTGCACATAAAATTTAAAAAAAATAATTTAAAATATGTAAATGTTTTCTGACACAGACTAGGGTAGCCTTGATTTTGCTAGAGGATAACCCTGAGCTCCTCCCTCCCCCTTGCAGATGAGAGATGATAGGGATGTGCTCGAAAGTAGGCTGGTGTTTTGTTTTTTCTACCACAGGTCTGTTTACTACAAAGTACATGAAAGTATACTATAAAGTATGGTATACTTTACTATAAAGTACATTACAGAAAGGTGTGTATGTCTTAAGCGAGCATGCTGCTGAAGCATCTGTAAAGAAAAAGATACCAGTTTTGATGGACAAGGCAGTGTCCTTTCTCCACCTTAAAAAACATAAAGCTTGGGCTGGAGAGATGGCTTAGAGGTTAAGAGCACTGGCTGTACTTCCAAGGGTCCCACGTTCATATTCCCAGCACCCACATGGTGGTTCATAAACCATCTATAATGAGATCTACTGCCCTCTTCTGGCATGCAGGCATACATACACAGTCAGAATACTGTATAAATAATAAATGTTTTTTAAAAACTGTAAAGCCCAATGCTACCATGTTTTGTAGGTTATTAACATTAATGAACAAGTGTCTGTTGTTTTAATTACAGTGGCACAGAAAATGCTGGTATTTAAGGCGAGCCTATGATTTCTAAGAGTAGACTTCAGTGTCATGAGCCAGTCTCCAGCTCACAAACACTTGGTTTGACTGAAAAGTGGCAAAACAGGAAGTCGAATAAAGAACAGCGTGAGCAGCCTACAATGTGCCAACCACAGGACCCTGAGTGAGCCAGAGCTCTTCAAGCCCATCTTTTCCTGTCTATGACAGAGTATAAGTGCTTGGAGATACACCCCAGTAGACCTCTACAGGGACATCACAGAACCTGCATGCCACACTCAGTGTCAGAGTTGGTTGAAGAGAAATACAGAAGCATGGAAGACAAGTCTATGAATGGAGAGAGTGCAATTACACCGCCTGTCAGGTCTGCAGGGCTATTTCTTCCACAGACCTCAAAGCTCCCTTCAATACTAAAGATCCCTAGGCCCACATCTGCCCTCACACCAGCTCATGTCTCCACCCTGAAAGGGGTCCACACTTCCAACATCACAGTCTGATGGAACAGGGTGACTTGTTAGCTTCTATTATTTTTCACCCCGCACTCTAGGATCAACATTGCTGCGACAATACAAAGCCCAGCTGATCCCCTTTATGGCAATATTCTGCCTCCCTACGGGATTGTTCCTGTGAGGATTCGGCTCACAGGAGTGGACATGGGGTATGCCTGTTCCGAGTAAACCATAATTAAAATAAAAGTTCCAAAGAAAGCAGGATAAACAGCACACACCTCAATTTCCGCCACAGGACCTTGGCCATTTGGTGAACTTCAGTCAACTAAAACAAGAATCCTGGCTATACCCATAAAGAACAGATGAGACCAGATCTCCCGTCGCCTAGATGTCCTGAGAAAGCCGTGTGAGAATGGCTCGGCAGCCAAAGACAGGCTTCCACAGCCAAGCTGTGATGTGAACCACCAACATCACCTCCAGCCAGTCAGTCAGAAACCCACCCAAGCAATACTGGATCTTCCAATCTTTTCCATTCCTGAAGTACCAAACCCGATCTCCTGACCCAAAAGCACAAGGAGGTTAAAGGCAGCAAGATGCCTTTTTACAAGGTGGCCACTGCCAGCATTAACACCATCGCCTTCTCCCAGCTCTAACGTGCATGCTGCTGAGGTCCAGGATAGTTCCACACAGCACCTCTGAGAGGTTTAGATTTCATCCTCCGCTCCCTACAAGCCTGGCTACGCCACGCCCACCCCGACACTTCCGGCTTGCAAGGTTGCGCTGCACCCTGAACCAACCTCCATGTCAGAAATGAATCCAGAGAGCAGAGCCGGACCGGGCTCTCGCCAGAGCTCGGGAAGGACGCCCACGTGTTTACCAAAAGCTGAAAGGCTGTTTCCATTGTAGTTCCTGTTTCGTCACGGTCACTGGGACTACATTTCCCAGAGGTCTTGAGAGTTCCAGGAACCATGGGAGAGAGATTTCTGCTGTTCTGGGTTTCTGCTCCTTCATCAGCAGAACTGGCTGCAGAGCAAAAGCTGAGTCAGCAGCTGGGCAGGCAGCCTCAGGGAGTCAGGCTGCTTTTTAAGTTCCAGAATTACAGCGCGAGGTGTTTGTTAGTACTGTTTAGTCTTTCACAGTAATGTTTAGTAAGTTTGCAAGTCATTTCTGATCCAGAATAGCCAGAGCTGCCCACTGAGGGACCAAAAGAACAGGGACTGTTACCAATTACCATTTATGTCTTTGTCTCTCTCTCTTTCTATGTTCAAGTGTTTCTTTTTTCAACCACAGGAAAAAAAAAATTTTTTTTTTTCTTCATCACTCCCAAACGATTAGCATAGAAACAACAGGTTTCTCCCAAAGCCATACAGGGTGCCCTTATCTTGTGAGAAGCCTAAGCAGCCCTAAGTTTATAGGACCATTTCTGTAAGAGATACAATTTTTGTTCTAATTCAAAGGCAGAAACTTGTAATACTTCCAGGTCCTGATCAACCTCCCTACTTAGCTTTTAAAAGTTTCTATCTCTCTTGATAAAAGCTGATGTTTCTAACGCTGTCAAGCCAGCTGTGCTGGCTCCACTGTGTCTATAAGGACAGACACAGTTCTTTCTTTGTAGTCTGTGGTCCATATTAAAATGTGGGTTTTTTTTTTTTCCTTTTACATTACATAAAGCATCAGAATAAAACACATTAATTAAACCATTAGATGTTGAGCCCACTAAATACTCTCAGGGGCTTGGTAATATTGCTATTGTCCAGATGAGTCAACCCACAAGGAAGAATAATAGGCATCAGGATAAGGTTTGGACATTAGATAAGTTCCAGTCCCTTATATGTCCTCTAACATTGATTTGTGCTGCCCCAGTTACAGTGAGCTTTGTCAGTCAATGACTGACACTCTAATTATTTCCTGTTCCTATGTAGTGTGGGGGCTGAGGGCCTAAGCATAACCAGTAATCCTGGCCAATTTGTAGCTGGAATGATGAACCAAGCAGTGGCTCTTGTCAAGAATGGAAAATAGGGATGGAGATCCCTCAGCCTCCACAGTTGGAGGTTGAACTCTGGCCCTGGGTATGTTAAGTGCTTTGGAGAGGAGAGTTGTTTGGGGCCTTGGCTTAGCTCCCTGTTTGTCCTAGGTGGAATCACCAGTCTTTGACAAGGGAAACATAGTGGGAATTTGGAGGTGGGTAGGAACTCTCAGATAGTCCAATCAACAGCTTTATGGAGGACTGGAGGATCTGTAGTTACTTAGGAAAGAAATTGTTAGACAGTTGTTCTGCCAAGTATTGGTATCTGAGCCAGGGAAGTAGAAAGGGAGGTCTTCTAAACATAATCTCAGTGGGTGCAACAGGCCCAACACAAAACAAAGGAAGGAGGTCCATCTACCTTTCATTGGACTCTGATGAGAGTTTTGTTAGTTTCTTTTAACTTCTTGTTCATTCTTTTTACCTGCCCAGAACTCTGAGATCTTTATGTAATCTGAAGTTTGTAATCTATCCCCACAGCTTTCACCATTAAGAGTTTTGGCTATGAAAGCAGGGTCATTCTGAGACCCCAGTTTCCGGGGGTGGGGAGAGGGAGAGGCAAATCGGGGGACCGAGTATTAGAGGATCTGTTAAAACTACTATTTGAGCAGTTTCAGTCAGGCAGAGAATGCTTTCACACACACAGAAAAAAATATGCAAGTACTTAAATCCTCCTCTGGCAGACTGGATTTCTGTGAAGTTGATTTCCCAGAATTCACTGGCATATTGGCCTCTCATTTGGATCCCTTCCTGGGAAAGAGCTCTCAGTTTTGGATTCACTTGAGCACAAACCTGGCATCTGGCTGAAACATCCCATAGTTGGCTGTACAGTCTAGATATAACATGTGTTGGTATGAGCAACTCAGAAAGTTTGGTGGACCTAGATGAGTTGTTAGGCCCAGGGAGAGCCTAACCAACCGCCAGCGAGGCAACTGAGAGAAACTCGGAGACAGATCCATGTAAAAGAAAGAGGTTTATTCAGACCATTGTGCAATGGGGCCTCCTTACAAGTCAGCAAGGAATAGCCACAGGGGAGTGGGGGGAGTGGGCAAAAGCCTTGGGTTTTTAAAAGAAAAAGCATGGGGAGGTGTGGGGTTGCAAGCTTGTCAGTACAGAATTGGGTCATTTTAGGCACCTAAGTGACCAGATGTCTAAAGGATATCTGATCTTTAAGTTACACTGGGGATGTCTTATGATGTGCAGATTTGGTCTTAGGTAGGGAGCGGTTGACCATCACATTCTGTGACTTCTCTGAGAAAAGCAGAGTGAAGAGCTATCTGGGTGTGACCTTCTGGACCGGTAGCTGGGAAACCCTATCTTGTACTGTGCCGGAGCCAGCCAGCAGAGTCGAATGGTTCTTGAGTCGGGAGTGAGGATTAAAATTAATAAAAAATAAAAATAAAAAAACCCACACAGCACACAGGAGGCTTTTTAAGAAGGTCCGGACTCGACAGCTACAACAAAAAGCCGCCTTAGTCTCTGCAGCAAAACTAACAACAACTGCCAGCCCTTTAGCAGCAACTGTAGGCCTGTCTTTTTATTGTAGTTTTTAAGCCAGAGTAGAAACATCTCAGAACAATGGGTTAATTTCCACAAGAAGCCTGAGGAAGAGGTGTGATCTTCACAAGCTATCCTATCTGCTGTCACAAACAAAAGGAAATGGACCTGCAAATTTTTCCTGACTTAGTGAAGGTCTGGTAAAAGCAGTCTCTCCACTGAGATTTAAATATCAAAGCAGCTGCCAGAGGCACCACTCAGACAGTACTGCTGGTTTGGACCGTTTGCAATAGGGAGGAGACATTGGGAGCAATCTTTTGCAACAGGGAGAAGACCTGGGTGTATTGCTTGGCCTAGTTTAATTTTTTTTTACAGCAGGGTGGGTCTTGTTCCAATTCATCTGCCTCTTCTGTCTTCATCCTTCTGCTTTCTGGAAAAGTGCTGAGAGAACTTAGTTTAACATGGGGTATAAAATTCATATAAAGAGACCTGTAAAGTTAACTTGTTTCTCTCAGAGCAGCCTGGAAAAAGCCAGTTGCTGGAGTATATAAACTGAAGATGTGACCATTCCAGGGTATGGTTGAGGGAAATGTTTTCTTATAGATATGAGAGAGTGAACAGCCAGAGGCATCTGTAAGAGTCTAGAGAAGAGAGAGAAAGTAGTAAATTAAACATGGCCAGCAGACTGGACTTGACCATGAGGAGTTTGGGATTGCTTCTGGAGCCTGCCAGCGAAGTCTGACAGTTCCTGAGTCGGGAGTGAGGATTGAAATAATTAAAGCAAGTCACAATCACATGGAATTGGCTTGAGAGGGCTGTCAGTATGACTGCAGCATGGGTTTATTCCACAATTCCTTTTTCATAGGCAATGCAAAAACAAGTCACATCATTACAAGAAAGAAGTTTGTGGAACTTCCAAACTTGTTTTCTAAAACTACTTCCCTATAGCAGATATGGTCCAAGGTCACACAAATAAGTTCTAAGGAACTTGGAAAAACTTCCTCTTTTCTCTGTCTCAAGGTGAAGACCAGGGTGAAAACCTGTTTTTCAATAAATAACAAAGCAGCTTGACAAACAAGCAGCTCTCTACAGAGAGAGAGAACAAAAGAGAAAGAAAAAGGGAGTGCAGGCAAAGAAGACTAAGAGAGAAGGGCAAAAGAGAGGGGCCAAGAAAGGAAAATGAGAGAGGGAAGGAGAAAGAGAGAGAGGGCACAGCGGGAGCGCAGAGAGAGTGCTTGGCCCATATGGCAGTGTAGGCCCATGAGCTGGAGAAGTTTAGAGCAGGGGGAGTTTATGCCTGCTATATTTTGACCTCTTACAAAGGGGATGAATAGTATCACTATTGAATATAGAAACTATTATAATATATAATTATGCTACTCAACATATCTGGTACAGGGAAATTAATTTGGGGAAGGGAAAGGGGAGAGGATTTAGGGCCTCTAGGAGGAGAGGTATAGGCAGATAATTGGACAGGTAGACAGGCAGACAGACAGATGAGGACAGAGCCATGAGTTCAGAGGACACAGAGAGAAAACATGGGGACAGAGAGAAGTTTAAACACACAGATAGAGACAGAGACAGACTGAGAGAGCTGGGCAGGTCCTTTTATCTCCAAACTGCACCTGGCAGTTGCAGCAGGTAATGACAGAAGACATTGCTAGGACCCTGAAGGCAAGACAGCTGAATCACCTGTATAATAACATTCCTATCTTTTTGTTGAATTAAAAATGATAAACTAGGACCAGTGCTCCAACCAAGGACCTAGACACCCTGCTCAGATGTAGCCCATAGGCAGCTCCGTCTCCAAGTGGGTACCCTAGTAAGCGGAGCAGGGGCTATCTCTGACATGGACTCAATGGCTAGCTCTTTGATCACCTCCCTTTGAGGGGTGCAGCCTTACCAGGCCAAAGAAGAAGATGATGCAGCCAGTCTTGATGGGATCTGATAGGTTCTCATACATAGTAAGAGGACTAGGGGAGGGGCATAGGGGGAGAAAAGGGAGGGAGGGTGGAACTAGGAGGAGATGAGGAAGGGGGCTACAACTGGGATACAAAGTGAATAAATTGTAATAATAAGTAAGTAAGTAAATAAAAACCTTAAAAAATAATAAAATAGGAAAGGGAATGAGGATGTTGTGTTCAGAAGGACTGCTTTCTATGCAAGACAAGTTAAAGTATATAAATGTAGGTTCATTGGAAGCAGCTCTTGGCCACCATGTGGGGGAGGAGAAAAGAGAAAAGTGAGTAAAAGCACTAAAATGGCTAGCACAAAATAATTAATTTTTAATTTAATTAAAATAATGTAACTGATTAAATACATGCCTTTGATTCTAATACTTGGGAAACAAGGACAACAAATACGTTTCTG